TCACCAGATATTCTTGGCATGTCTGCAGCTGTGTGGGCAATCCTGCACACTGAGTAACCCAAGGCTTCCTCTAGCAAGCCCTCATTGAGCCCTTGATTTATGACAACTTATAGAGATCATTTTCTTTTTCATTAAAAAAACCCATCCTCCTCTTAAGGACTTTGATGATGTACATAACATGGAACCAAAGACCTGTTGAGAGCTTCTTAGTTTCTCCAGCAGGAGAATTCAAATCCAGGCTGGAGTCCAGGTAGCAGCCCCTTCCTTGTTCTACCGCTGGGTGGCTTCACAGGTAAACAAGCACTACCAATCACCTCTTCCCAGTGCAGTTGTCTCAGTACATTCTGGAAGCTTATTCTTCTTCAAGTTTGTGTCTCTGGCTCCTATGCTTTCTGAGCACTGTGCTGTGCTGTGCAGTGCTGTGCTGTGCAGTGCCATGCTTTACTGTGTTGTGTAGTACTACGCTGTTCTGTGTTGTGCAGTAATATACTGTACTGTGCCATGCAGTGCTATGTGGTGCCATGCAGTGCTGTGCAGTGCCGTGCTGTGCCATGCAGTGCTGTGCAGTGCCGTGCTGTGCCATGCAGTGCTGTGCAGTGCCGTGCCATGCAGTGCTGTGCTGTGCCATGCAGTGCTGTGATGTCATGCTGTGCCTATCACAGATCATTTATCCTTGGCCGCTTCATCTGAAAGGCCGCTTTGAGGACAGAACACAGACCCTTCCACACTCGGGTAGTGTCAACAACACAGGGATCCACTGGGCTTTATATAATTATCCTTAAAGGATAATTGAGTTTTAATTTATGTCCCAGTTTATGTTCCTATCAAAGACAACTGAATTTCCGTGCATCATAATTCTCATCCGCTGTGCAGTGGAAACATTCTGATGTGGACTATCAGTGTTCTATGGTGGTGGTTGGGGGTGCAGTTTTCTGAAGGGGTTCACATCCATTTCAGACCGAAGAATCATCTGTGTTAGCAGGGAGGGTGAGCTAGCAACAGAGCAGGGGGCCATGATTCCCGGGGAAATGTCCATTTTCTTTGTAAAGTCCAGGAGTCGATGTGAAGATGGAAGGGTCTTTAGTGATGGGTACCTATTTAGGGGAGAGAACAGGGTACGAATCTACTGCTGAAGCTTAGGGCAGTAGTAAGTTTAGCACCTAGGAAGAGATCAGGTCAGGAAACCCCCTGCAGAGGACTGTCTGTGGTCATTCTGAAGTTACCAGATGCTTATATGGTTGTCTGTCTGGAAAAAGGATCTAACAGCTATGGGAACCGTGAGCCACAAAAATAGCTAGCTGCAAAGATGCGCTCATCATGAGAACATCCACTCCGGAGCAGCAGGCTCAGAGTCTCACCTTTCGCATGTGTAATGCCTGTCGGGTGGCTATAAATAGCCCTCTGCTCCAGCCTTTGACTTGCGTGGTCTATTTGCATAAAGCTACAGCTCCGGAAGGCTTCTGACACCTTTCGTTAAAAGATAAATAAAACGAACTTGTTCATTCTCAGAAAGTGTGGATTGCTTGAGAGCCGCCGAAAATGGGGCACTACCTGGTGCCCTGGTCTTTTTGCTTGAGTCAGGGTGCCAGTTCTCTCTGTGTTCCTTGGGGAGGGGTCACCATCCAAGGGCATGTTGCATGTTTGCCCTGATCGGCATATAAATTTTTGTCTTTACTGCTGTTACTGACATTAATGTCAATGTATGTGTGTATGTGTATGTGTGTGTATGTGTGTGTGTATGCGTGGAAGTAGAAAGGAATGTTCAAGGAGAGAAATGTCTGGAATAAAGGGGAAGAGAAGAAAAGGAGGACAATGGGAAACACGTGACCTGAGAGTAGAAGAACTACTTAGGGCCAAGAGAGGAGAGCAAGGCAGAGTGGAGAGGAGAAGAGAAGTTCCGGGTAGAGATTTGGATGAAGGGGGCTCTGTTGTCCCAAAGGCCACCAGGCAGAGGCCTTGGTGAAGATCTTGGTGTCTCTCTTGGGTCTTTCTTTGTAGGGACGGTTGCTCTGGAGTGTGAGCCTATGCCTGAGGTGAAGAACTTGTATCCTGAATATAGGACTTAGAGGTATCCAAAACTCAACATGCCAAAGAGAAGGGACCCGCTAGATTTTCCAAGCCTTCTGCTCAGGAGGCTCCCGTTGAACCCACAAAGATGGTCTGTAGCCAGGGAGCCGCTGTAACTGCTTGAAGGGACATTTTCCTCACAGCAAGGGGGAAATTGGAAGACAAATCAATTCACACACACACAAAATCAGTGTTTCTTCTCAGCATCGAACTTGGATTCGATTTCTGCTAAAATAACTAACAGGCAAATACTGGAAAGAGAAACCAAATCGATGTGGGTTTGTGAGCCAAGCAGTCTTCTTATAGTGGAGGAAGCGTCACCTCCAGGGGGCAAACGTGGTTTGGTGAGGAGAGAGAACCTGAGGGCTCCCTGTACTTGTCCCAGGTCAAACAGAAAGTGGGCAAGGACACTTCAGTTCCGAACCTCAGGGCTAGAACCCACACAGGCTCTTTCCTTGGAAATTAAAAAAAAAAAAAAAGAAAAGAAAAGGAAAAAGGGAAGAGAGACAGAGACAGAGACAGAGACACACAGAGAGAGAGAGAGAGAGAGAGAGAGAGAGAGAGAGAAGAAAGACAGAAAGAAAAAAGAAAATGTGTGTGCCCTCTAGTGGTCATTTTGGAAACTACCATTTTAATCTTCACTGGACACGTGTCTGGAAGGAGTGTGTGTGTGTGTGTGTGTGTGTGTGTGTGAAGTCCTGGATTCATATATAAGCTGCATGTATCTACTTAACTAAACCTTTTGAATAAAGGTGCAAGTATTCGCCACCCTGTCATTTAAATGGGGGTGAAGTGCTGAGGAACAAAGAAATAGCAGAAACTTCACAGATGTCTTCTTCACGCCCAGTCTGCTGGTATAAGCTCAGAACATGGTGCTAAAAGACTCAGAGTACGGAAAATAAATGGTGATTAAAGTAACGTACTGTCCAAAGTCACAAACCCACTAAGTAAAACAACCAGCCTTCTCATTTCCTAAGAAAAATGACACGGGTGTATGGACCGCTGGGTAGAAAAATGATGCATTGAATGAAACCTAAATTTAGGTGCTCCCAAGCACAGCTGGGATTCAGTCTTCCTGTGTCCTCTTCGCGCTTTCTGACACCTGCGTTTTCAAAATGTGGGTTAGAGCC